GTTAAATTGTATAGCACAGAGATCATTGGGGTGGGCCTGATGTGATGACACAAACCCTTTAAAAATCATCATTTTATATGGGTGGTGGCATTAATCAGAAAGATTTGAAGCGTGAGAAGATTGGATGTACCATTGCTGACTTTGAAGGTTCAGGAAGTAACAGGATAAGAGTTTAATTAAGTGTTCCCCCACCAGTACTTGAAAAACAATTAGAACTTCAGTCCCATAACCACAGGGAACTATATTCTGTCAAAAATCAGAATGAGACTGAAAGTATTCTTTTCCAGAGCCTCCAGATAAAAAGCTTTCCTGGTTGACACCTTAATTTTGGTTTTGTGAGACTTTGTACAGAGAACCCAACCAAGCCCACTTGGACTTCTGACCTATAGAACTGAGAAATAATGTTGTTTTAAGCTGCCAAGTTGTTAATGTGTTATGCAATAATAGAAAAAAAAATCCAAAACAAACACTTAATGAGTTGTTTTGACCTACTGGTACCATAAATAAACGTCTGAGACACTAAAAGTGCCTTAAATCAAGAAAGCCTGGGAGCCTTTGGCTTAGACAAATCAGAAGGAAAAATAAGCCCCATAAATGTACACAAATAAGAATACAATGAAACTAAATACAGTACAGGAAGTTAGCAATGGAGGAAATTAAAAACAGAATGTCATAAAAATAGAATGAGTTGATATTGTTTTTGATAATTAAGAATTAGAAAAAATTGAGATGGCACTTGAGATATGGACAATGCCTTTTCCCAAAGAGTCCATAATAAGTGCATCTGAAGCAACAAGATAGAAACTTCTATCTTGAAACTTCTGAACTGAAGAAAGGCCTATGAAAAGATTCAGTGTTGAGGAAGGAATTCAATGAAAGTTTGGAACTGTAGGAAGCTAAGTGTTCTATAAATAGCTGAGCAGAAAAATAATGTAACAAAGTACTTAAATTATAAAGAGAAAATACTATAATTATCTGGGTAGTAAAACCAAATTGTCTTCAAAGGACCAAAGATCAATTGGCTCAAGCTACTCTTTGGGAATTAAATTTGTCCTTCCAGTTTTCACAACAACATTTCACTCAGCTTTCAGCTACACTGGTATTCTTTTACTCTTCACATAGGCCATACTCTCTCCTACCTTTGGGTTCACTGTCTCCCTTTGATGGGAAAGTTCTTCCGTATCTACTTCTTATCCCTTCAATAATTTAAATCCTGTTTCCTTTCAAATCTCAGTTCATAATTTTTAAGGAAAAGTTAACTTCTCTACCTAGACAAAAGCAGGACATGAGACTGCAATTGTGTACAAAGGATGTTCAAAGAGCTGTACTTTAATTCAATTTGCTCCTGTTGGATCTCTAGCCCTCATCACTTTTACTCCATGTGATAGGAGTCACTGACATGTAATAAAGAATGACTTGTTTCAAAAGGATCACTGGTTGTTGTACTGAGACAAGGCTGTAGGGGCAGAAAAGAGGGAGAGGGCTTAAGAGGCTACTAATAATCCACTCCAGGGCCTAGCGCATGGAAGATGAAAAGTGGTCAGATTTGAAGTATTCTGAAAGCAAAACCAAACCAATTTGAAGTAAAGGCAGGGTGAGAGAAAGAAGTAAAGAATGACAAGTTTTTTTGGCTTTAGAAACAGGTAGGATATTGTTATCAGCTAAAATGGAAAAAATTGTGGGTGAAGTTGGTTTGGGGAAAGAACACAAGTCCTATTTTGGCCAAAAGTCTGAGGTGTTTATTTAGATATCTAATAGAGATTTAAATAAGCATTTGGCTATAAAAGTCTGGATCCAAGACAGAGATTTCAAAGGAAAGAAAATCTGTTGGTTGTTAATATTTAGTGTTTAAAGCCACGAACTGGATGAGAAAGTGAGCAAAAGCAGAGAAGCAAACCAAAGGAATGAAACCTAGAGCACTTAAATATTAAGAAATTGGGGAGAAGGAACCAGAAAGGAGACTGAAAATGAGCCACACACTGACACAGAAGTGTGATCTACTGGAAGTGAAATCAATGTATATCAAGGTAAAAGGAAACAGGACACTTCGCTGTTCTTTGCAACAAATCAATATCATAAAAAGAAATTGATACAACGGCTAAATAAAACACATAGTCCTAACTTTGATTCTGCTTTGGAAAAAAACAGTTGAAAATGATATCCTGCGGTCAAATAGGTGAATGTGGTGTGAATATTGTAAGAAATGAAAGTTTATTGAAAGGCTGAAAACTGTTAACTTTAAAAGCAGGATAAAAAAATAAAAACCTTATTTTGGTAAAAAACATACATGCATATAGGAGCACAGAGAAGATTGGAAAGCATATACATTAAGGTGAATGTATAACTTTAGTGATGAATGCTCAATGATGGGACTGTGAAGATTTGATTTTTAGCTTGCTATATTTTCTAATTTTTTCCACAACGAACATGCATTACTCTGTAATAAATGTTTTAAATATTTATCAAAGTTATTAATGATTTATGAAATTATTAAGAAGACTGACAGGTGACCTTAAGATTAAATAACATGGAAATCACTGAGGACCTTGACAAGATCTATTTAAGTAGAGGGAGCAAAACTGAATGGAACTGTTTAGCAGTTCCACATAATGTTAAACACAGAGTTACTGTATAACCCAGCAATTACATGCCTAGGTACATACTCAAGGTAACTGAAAATATGTTCATACAAAAATTTGCACACAAACATTCATAGCAACATTTTTAGTAGCCCAAAGTGGAAATAATCCAAATATCCATAACAGATGAATGGAAAAACAAAGTGTGATACAATTGGCCCTCTTTGTCTGCAGGTTCCACAACAAACCATGCATCAAAAATTTGGATTTTTTTTTTTGTCTGTACTGAACACATACAGACTTTATTTTTTTCAATATTTCCTAAACAATAAGGACAACTATCTACATAGAATTTACATTGTACTAGGCATTACAAGTAATATAGAAATCATTTAAAATATACAGGTGGAGATAAGTAGCCTATTAGCAAATGCTATGCCATATTATAAAAGAACTTAATTATTCAAAGATTCTGATATCCCTGGGAAGGGTTCTGGAACCAATCTGTCACAGATATTGAGGGATGACTATATATTCATACAAGAAAATATATTCAGCAAAAATTAATGAAGTGCTGTTGCATCCTACCACATGGATGAAACTTGAAAATATTAGGCCAAGTAAAAACAAAACTAAACTAAACTAAAATATATTGTATGACTCCATGCAGATGAAATGTTTGCAACAGACAGTTTTACAGAAACAGTGGTACTTAGACAGGAAGGGATAATGAATGGGGTGATGGCTACGGTATAGGACTTGTTCCTGTTGTGTTCAGAGTGTATTGATGGTTGCACACCTCTGAATAGAATAAAAACCACTTTAAAAAGGGAGAATTTAATGCTATGTGAAATATATCTCAATAAAGCTATTTGTAAAAATAAAAAGGCAGCAGAGTCTAGTTGATGTACTTATTTCAATCCTATTCAGTATTTTTTGATTTACTATTTTCTCTGTTGTTGCCACGACACATTTTTAAAAATCTTATCCCCCCATATTTGCTAATCATTTTCTAATTCTTCTCTCTTCTTAATCTCTATCCCCACACTACGTTCAAACTCTCCAAAATTAAAAAAAAAGAAAGAAAAATGTATTCCTCTATTAAGAAAAACTACATTTCACAGTGTAAAAAGTATTGATACTTTTTACACCATCTATATAACATATGTACATATTACCAAAGGGGGGAAAGGAGGAATAAAGGGAGAAGGGGGTGCTGCTGTCTAAAGACACATCACTTTAAGCCAACAATATATCAAATAGCCTGAATTCCAAATATTATTTTGGATTATATAAAATAACTGACAAATTACAAAACAGGTGTCCTTCCCTCTTGAAAAATGGTTAAATACTTAAATGATGCTGCTATACTACATTTTTAATGAAATTTTAAAAATCAACAATGGTAGGTAGAAGTTATCGTTATTTTACGGGTAAAGAGACCAAGAGTACTTTTAAAGTCAAAGGTAAATTTAGGTTTACTGCTAATTTCCTCTCTTGGACTGTAAAATTTTAATAGTACACACTAATTATCTATTGTTGGAGTAACACCTGAGCAATTTAGCTAAAGATACAACAATAACAAAAACCTTATATACAAATATTCAAACTTGGGAAGTTTTCAGTTAAAATAATAGAAAAATATAATTTTTTTCCTTCCAGAAAAAGGTATCTAAGAAAATGGTTCAGACAACTCATGTATATTATTCACAAGTCATACATGAATCACCCTCTTCTGTATTTCTTAAATTCTATAACCAACTGATAAAAAAAACAGGTTTCATTGTCAAAGAATATGAACAGGTTTCATTTTCAGAATACATCTATAATTTAACAATATTGGATGTGTAACTGATGTGATTCTGCAATCTGTATATGGGGTAAAAATGGGAGTTCATAACCCACTTGAATCAAAGTGTGAAATATGATTTATCAAGAACTATGTAATGTTTTGAACAACCAACAATAAAAAATTAAAAAAAAAATAAATTAGAAAATCAATCAAAAAAAAAAAAAAAACAATAGTCCCGCTGTTTATCTGCAGTTTTGCTTTCTGTGATTTTAGCTATCCACCATCAACTGCTATCCAGAAATATTAAAGCAGAACATTCCAGAAAGAAATAATTTATAACTTTTTAAAAAATTCTGTCATTTTGAGTAGTGTGAGGAAATCTTACACTCCCCTGGCTCAAGACATAAATCCTCCCTTTGTCCAGGGTATCCACTCTATATCTGCTACTTGACCATTATTCACTTATGTAACTGTTATCAGAGTGACTGTCAACAGTATTACAGTGCTTGTATACAGGGTTCAGTACTATCTCCACTTTTGAACCTTCCATTTGAAAAGCATTCCTGGTAGATAAGGGTGGAATAACATACTAATACAAAATTCTATTTAAAAAACACAGTTATTTCATATTAAAGTCTTTCAGTACATAACATTTTTATTATTTTTGGTGCATCTTCTTACGCATTTCTTCAAGAGCTGCTTCTTTCTCTCTTAGCACTTGTTTAAGTCTTCTTATTTTTTCATCTCGGACGGTTTCTTCTAATTCTGGTGGTGTCACTGGGAAAATATCTTCAGTATATTTTTTATTAAAGAAATTACTTTGTTCAAAAGCTGCATATGAACTCAATGCACCTTTCTCCTCCTTCTTGTGGGAATAGTGTTCTACTTCAGTTATCTTTTCTTCTCTGGTTTTGCTGCAGCTTGTGGGAATGTTATTTTTTGATACGTCTGAAGTCGGTAAAACACTGCAGAGGGGTTGGGAACTGGTGACAATAGTTACCCCATTTATGACTGTGTTGCAGGTACTCTCGGTTTTTCTCTTCTTTGTGTGATCCATCTTCTTCATGTTTTTTGCTTTTCTTTTCTTATTAAAACCCTGTTGCAATGTTGAGTAAGATCATGAAAAAAAGTTATTGTCATATATATAATGTGCTCTCAAATTTAACAAAATTTGCAAACACAAATATTTAGCAAGTAAACTCAATTCAATGAAATTTACTTGGGCCAACAATAGCAAAAAAGACCGGGATCCCACTGTGTGGTATCAAAACAAATAGCATTGTCTATAATCATAGTCACTGAGAATAAACTGCTTAATTCACACCGTTCCTGTTCACGTATTAGAAGCTCTATGGATCTACCAGCAAAATACAATAGCACTTGTGAAGCACCTGAGAAATAGCTGATTTAATTTTTTTTTTCTTTTCCTTTGCACAGAAAATACATGTGGAAGGAAGCTTTTCATTGGGCAGGGTTGAGGTTCAGAATACTAGATGATAGATGATGACATAGTCATAATCAGAATGACAATAGATAAAGTTACAGGGACATATCTTTTCCACTATTATTGACTACTTAGGTTGCTTACAACATATTAATAGTAAAACTGCAATGAACATCTGCATGCTTATATTTTCCACATTTGGATAATCAGTTGAAATGTTATGGTCTATTCTTGTATTACAATGGGAAAAAAGATAATAGGTGAATAAAAACACTTAAAACAATGTCTTAACTGGGGATAGATTTTTATCTGTGCATGTTTCTTTTAAACATTGTTTTGGTATAATACATACTTGCAAATTTGGTAACAATCACCATTCATACCAGTGCATAAAACTAAAAATCAAATTAAAAAAACTAATATATTCATATATTTTTGTAGTATTTACAAGGGACACTTTAAGACCTATTACCTGTTTTCTCTCTTGTTCCTTCACCACAAACTCTGTCTCTGTGTTAGTACTACTCTTCATCACACTGCTAAAAGAATCAAAACTTTTTCCAGAGTGCAAATGATCAGGAATTCGAGTAAGGCACACTCGCAAATCTTTAGTGAGACCAAATATCTTTTTAAATTCAGCATCGCTCTTCAGACATGATGCCTTAACACTATTTCCTTCAGAGACTTTCTTGTCATTTCTTCCTTGAGAGACTTTTCCTAATGTTGATGCCATCTCATTCTGTATCTGGAATTAAGAAAACACAAACAATACTACTAATTACTCAATTTATCAGACTAGTAACTAAGAGATTATTTAATCTTTCATAAAAAAGATATCATGCTTTTAAGGATTTGCATTACCTTTACCTTACCACCCACACTCAAAATACTGAATTTAAATAAAATCTAAAATCATTCCCCTACAATTTCTACCTTTAGCTTGTTGCACTAGAAAGGTAACAGTCCATTCTCAAACAACTGAAATGAGAATAGAGGCCAATAACAACTTTAAAAAAAATGTAACATTATTTAGAAATTAGTCTTCTGAAACATTATGTCTTTAATCAATTGTGTAATTATCAGAATTCACTTCCTTACATCTCTAAAGTTTAATGGATTATTACTGAAGAGGAAAAATACTGACATTATAAAGCAGACCTCTAAGTAAAACAAGGAAAAGGTAGGTACATGAATATATAGTAAGCACACAAACATTCATATCTTAAGAACAGAGGGTAATTGGTGGGCATGAGGAGTCACAGAGAAGGGCTAAAAAAAAGAAAAAAGAAACCTGTTTTAACAAAAATAAATAAATAAACCCACCACCAAAGATAATGATAAAATCTTATTTCCACAAACAATTGAAAGATACTGACTAGTCCTATCCCACCCTTTTCACATTAAAAAAAAAAACCTGAATATTTCTCCAATACCTTCTCTCTCTCACACACCCCCCCACAAAAAACCCAGTTCTCTATATACATGTTGCTCTCTTCATATACTAAAAGCATACTATTTTATTTATATATATATTTATGTATGTACACAATTTTACTAATCTTTGAAGTCATATAATCCTCCCCCCAACTCTTCTAAGAAAACTTGCTGTTCTGCCTTTTTTTTTTTTTTGGTTGTTGTTACTTTGTTTTTGTTTTGAAGAGTTGGCATCCAAATGATTCAAGACATTGTTTGGACTTGCCTAATTGTACTCCTTTTCAAACAATATTTACTCAGATGAGTTTTGACTTAATTAAGTATATGCATGATGGAGTGGGGGTGGGTAAAAGAGGTATCATAACTGAGAATTAAGAAAGAAAAAATTTCTATATAGATATATAAAAAGAATACCCTGACATGGGAAAATTACCTTTGATTCTTGGTCTCTGAAAACATACTGTTGTGAAGTAACAGTTGTTGCATCAACAGAGGAATTTATTTTCTCTATGCTCTGGATCGTATTTCCTTTTCTGGGGGCATTCTGTCCTGTACTAAATCCATCTGGAAAGACTGGCTTTGTGAATAAAGTCTTACTCTGTTTTAGGTAGTTACTGGATTGATTCATGTTATGTGGGTTTGTGGTAGAAAGAGATGATTTTTCGAACATTTTATTCTTCTCTGCACTTAGATTAATCATGGAAGCAAGCTGGGTATTTGAAAGTGATTTTGTCTCCATCTGTAAAGATTTACTTTTAGCCAAAACAATATTTACAACCTCTCTGGATATTTCTGTGACTGGACTTGAACTCACTACCTGTGATGTGTTTTTTCTTAGTGGAATATCAGGAGAAACAGAATTCTGATGGTCAATTTGTGATGGCAAAATATCTGCCCCCTTTTTAGCCAACAGATAGACTTTCCCATTAAACATAACCAAAGCATTATCTTTAATTGGCACACTTATGGATTGTGTCCCACTAGGACTGATGGTACTCAATGGTGGCATATTTACAGTATTATCTCCCAAACTTTTCCTATCTACGAAAGTTTTTAAAATCTTTGAAGCCACATTATTTGAAGATTTAACAGGAACAAGAGATGGAGTACAAGGCCGAAGATTTTCTTGAAAAATCCATTTCACTGGAGCAGCTTGAGAATGCTGACCACCTTTTAATTGTGTCTCTGCAGCAACTTTCGATGGAATTTGGGTGGTATTTAGTATCAGTGGCTTTGCTATTTCTTTAACAGGTTTTGGATAGATATTTTGAAAGTTCTTGGTAACTATATTTTTCACTGTATTTACAGGAGATACATAAATAACTGTTGGTATTTGGGAGGACTCAACTGCTCCTGAGGTACTTGTGGTTGCAGCTGCAAGTATCTTTTGCTGAACTGAAGGAGGCAATGATGATGCAGGTACGGATTTCACTTCAGCATGGGCTGGAATTTGTAAATGATGCCCGGAAGGCAAAACTGGAGACTTCACAGTCATTGGAAGATTCGGGGTTTTGACTACAATATAAGATGAATCATTTTGTGTTGAGGGAGGAACAGCAAATGTTTGCATGGTGAGTCCATCAATTTTCACACCATGACTCTTAACTTTAGAAACTGATGAGGTAAAATTTTCAGTTCCCACAGAAGTAACTCTACCTTTTTCTGCTGTATCTACTGTTCTTGTAAGAAAATACTTTGAAGAACTGGCTGGCTGAAAAATGGGCAATTGAACTGATGCACTTGTGGAAGAGCTGGAAATCTGAGTCTGAAAAGTAACTTGAACTGGTTTTCCTGTATTCCCTTTCAAAGCATCAGACATGACTGAAGATTGAACTAGTGGGATAAGATTTCCAGAAGAATTAGGAATTGGAAGTAATTGCAGAAGATTTTTTCCATCCGAGCCAATCGTCTGAACTACTTGATACATGCAGCCTGAAACACTTAAAAGAACATTTTGAGTAAATAAATACAACATACTACATGGTATATACATTTTATTTTTAAACAAATATTTGCAAAAATTATTTTAAACTATTAAAGTATAATAAAATACATAATTTCTTATTTTGAGTTTGCAAAGAGAAATATCTCATAATTAGGCAATAGATATGAGATATTAACATTTTTTCCCAGTAGAGATTTCTAAGGTTTTACCCTATATGACACTAGAATAGACTCCTTGAAACTTCTCCATTTCCTTGAATTCTTTCCTTTTCTCCTTTACTTTTACTAGCATTATCCCTTCTCCATTTCCTTGAATTCTTTCCTTTTCTCCTTTACTTTTACTAGCAGGATTCTCATTCCCACCTCTACTTATGTTTATTCTTTTATTCTCACTTTTTTCTTCCAAATCTATTCTATCCTCTTCCAACTGACAATGAATCACAAGTTCAGTTGTCAACCACTTTTATTTTCCTTAAGACATCTCACATAGTGATATGCTAGTATGCCACATTTCATACTATAGATTTAACTGGGTTACTCATGTAAGAACCATTTCCTCTTGTGATTTTTGTTATAGTACATTTGAGGTTTGGTGCTAAATAGTCTCTTGTCCTTATATTAGTTTAATTATCAATTGTCTCATCAACCCATCTGTATAATACTATGGCAATTTTAGCTGAACAGTTGTCAGTGAAGGTAGAACAGAATGGAAATCAACACATTCTTTGTAACTAAGCCAATTGTGATGCTCATCGATTGTTAGATTTTAAGAAAAGTCAATACATACTAAATCTCTGTATAATAAATTATTTGGTGATTACTTAAATGCAGACATCTTAAGTTATTTATAACTAAAACTATCTTTCAGTTCTTGAAAAATATTGAGCTCTCATGGTCTCCAGGGCCATCTCACACGCTATCACTCTACCTAAGTACTCTTCCCAGACATAGTTCATCATAGAGCTCAAGTCTCAGAATAATTAATATTTCTCAAGAGATACATTCTCTGGTCAACTTAACTTCCCATGTCTTTCCTTCATAATTAATCTATAACATTATATCAACTAATCCCCTTTGACACAGGATGTTATATAATAACAGTGTTTGTTTTCATATCTATAGACTGTCTCCTATGCTAAATTATAGCAACATGAGTAAGAGTCCATATGGTTTTCATATATTCAATGAATAAAAAAAAAATCAAAAGGACATTTTATGATGTGAAAAGTATACAAAATCCAAATTTCAGTATCTATAAATAGGTTCTTAATATTACCCAAAGTCACACTTTATATTTTTGTACATGGCTGCTTTCATGATAAATGATAGAGTTGAATAGCTACAGCAGAGATCATATGGTTCTCAAAGACTAAAATATTTACTACCTAGTTCTATACAGAAAAGTGTTTGGTGGCTCCCCAGCTACACCAACTTGTAATCTCTTAAACTATTGCATAAGTGGATATGTAGAGACAATTATCATTAAGTAAGAAAAACGATGTATTTGAAAGAATACAAAAATGCTTATTCCTTTTGTTAAAATATTCTCTTCCCAAGGCTTTCAGTTTCTTTGCTAACTCATCCAATCTGAAGGACAGAACTCTTCTTTCCTATTCTGTACTTTTTCCTACATTTCTTTTATATAAATAACTTTGATTACTAAAATATCACTTATATGTCAACAATTCCCATATTTATATTTGTACCTTCTTTAAGATACAGGCTTATTATGTATACCCCTACTGCCCCTTGACATTTTTTTCAGAATCTTAAAGGCTCCTAAAACTGCATGGCTAGACTATCTCTGCCCATCATTACACTCAAAATTCCTTGCTATCTCATCTCTTAGGCACCTAAGTCAGAGCACGTAAATCTTGTTTTCTCATCCCTTATATCTAATCCATCAGAAATCCTATCGATATCATTGTTTAAATTCCGTTACCTGTTCAATTCTTTCCAAATCAACTGTTGCCACTCTAAGATAAGGAAATATCATCTCTGACTTAAGAGTACTCCAGTAGCTTCAAAATTTCTTTTTCCCTTTGGTCATAGATATCCTCTCCCTTTTAGTTCCATTCAGTACACTAAAACTGGTCCTTCCTGGCTTACAACATTTCTAGTTGCTTCCCATTATTCTTCGAATGGCAGAAAGAAAACCATTACTTCTGATGCAATGGAAGCCAAAGGAAGAGAGGATTTAAAGAAAATTGGGCAATTATGTGGAAAGCTTCTGAGAGTACAGAAAGAACAGGATTAAAAATATACACTGGATGGGCTGGGATTGTGGCTCAGTGGTGGAGCATTTGCCTAGAATGTGTACGGCCCTGGGTTCAAGTCTCATCACTGCATATAAATAAGTGAATAAAATAAAGGTTCATCAACATCTAAAAAAAATAAAAATATATATACACTGGAGGAAAGACTGGCAAGAAGCTAGAAGAGGAAAAGTGGAGTTAAAGATGACCAATAAGGAGTTATCAAATAGAAACCAGAAGACAAGTAGAGGAATTACAACTTATAGCAGGAGAAATATCTTCTTCTATTGGAATTGAAAGGAAGGTTAGGTATACTTGCAGGTAAGGTACATAACTTTGGTGTCAGAAAGCTGCAATTCTGATCTGATAGCATTTATTTTCTTCATGAAAAAAGATATGACATCATCTACTGGGAATAAAAGCAAACATAGGGAGAGACTTGAGGAGGATCAAAAATTTGGAACACTCTTTGTGAAAGAATAAGCTGACCATAGAAAATATTAGAGTTGTCAGGTGTGCACTAATGGATGAGGGAGGCAGGTAGTAATTGTGAATTTGTGGTGCTACTAATTTGTACTCTTGTGAAATTTTCTTTCTCTCACTATACACAAGTAAAGAGAAAGCATCCTGCTGAATTCATACAGGATGGCGATGATTTCAGAAGGGTACAATGAAAACTGAAAAGGAAACTGATAAGAGATATTAAAATGATAAAACAGAATTCTAAACTAGATACAAAGGAAATGAAAGAATCAAGGTTAAAATATAAAGAAAAAGGACTGGAAAGCCATATAAAGTTAAAGAAGTCATAGTGAAGCCTAGGGTATAGCTCAGTGGTAGAGCACTTGCATGCTCAATCCTCAGCATAAAACAAAACAACCCAAAAAACCACAATGGAAGCATTTAACAAGTAAGCTAGAAATATAAGACCTGATATTTAGAAAGCAGGATGCCTGAATCAATAATTCTGTAGATGCAGCAATTTCATCTGATAACAAGGACTACAGAATTAACTGGCTATGACAGAATGGAGAATAAAAAAAAACTGGGGGAAAAGATCTTCATATCAAAGAACCAGGCAACAAAGATATTATCCATATAGATGTTGAAGTCATACAGAATTAGAAAGAAGACTGTGGGCTAGATGCCTAGTTCAATGGCAGGAAGACGGTAGATACTCTTAATGAGCCACAATTAAGAACTGATATTCCAGAAAGTTGTCTTGAAGCCCACTTTTTTGCAGTCTACTTTTTACCCTACAATTCTATTAAAACTTCATTCTCAAATATTACCAAATACGTCTTCATAGTTAAGTCTGTCTTCATCCTCATTCCCTTAGTACTGTCTGTTGCCAAGTGACACTGATGGCCAATTATACTTTCATCTTGAAACTCCTCTCATTCTTTTTGTGGTTTCTAGTGTGTACAATTTGTTTCTCTTGATTTTCTTTGCCCTCCCTTCCTTATTCATTTTTCGGCATTTTAAGTATTCAATCATGGCTATTCTCCAAAGTATAGTTCTTGACTCTGCTTTTCTTCTTTAAGACATTCTTCCTTAAAGAGTATACCAATTTTCATGGCTTCAAATATTCCCCTCAACTACTTCCTTCGTAATACTGACTCCTCAGGGTATACGCTTTTATTCCTATACCCAATATTGATCTCAGTTTCATAGTTGTGATGTCTTATAAAACGCTTCCATTTTAATACCATCATTTAAAATTCAGCAAGTTTAAATTAATCTCTATTAAAAACTAGTGCTTTATCCTACTTTCCAACCATATGATAGCACTATACACCAGGTCATAAAGGCTATAAATCACCAAGTCATCTCTAACGTATCATTATTATCTTCTTATTCACTTTAGATTCCCTGTAGCACTTTGCATTCATACTTATAAAATAAACAGTACAGAAATGTATACTGAATAAATTACCAAGTCTATAGTTTTCTATTTTTTAACAGACTGCATCCATCTTTTCTTTTTTCACCATTCCAACTTCTACCATCTAGATTAAACCTCATCATCTTGTCTAGAGCTCTTCCATCTGGTTTCTTTTGCTTTGATGTTTAAGCTAGTTTTTCTGGTTGAAATTACTACTGACTAGTATGTATACTAGGATAAATTGTTTTCATCCTGTTGCTTTGTGCTCAAAGTTTCAATGTTAATCACTGCCAACCCAGTTTTACACCAAAATCTACAACCTAGTCCCAATCAATCTTTAGAATACTATCTACAACTTCTCTATAGGAAACCTTTGCTCTATGAAGAGACCTTTTTGCTATTCTGGAGTATGCCATGCAACTTATTCATTCTAAGTATTCTTTAATTTTTATTTTCCAACAACTTAAAAAGCTCAAAATTCATCTGCCTCACAAAACACCTGCCAGTCATTCAAACTCACAGTTTCTTTCAACTTTGGAATCACTGAAACACTTTCACTGGTGCAACTGATGCTGGAAGTTATGTAATACCTTCTTTATTGCCTTTTATCTACTAGCTATTTTTAAAAAATAAAACAAAATGGTATTTCCCCCAGCAACACTGAAACTCCTTAAGGTAAGAGACCATATCAATGACTTGCAATTGTTCTTCAACTACCAAGCACAGCAGACCCTTGAAAAATATTATATGAAAAATGATGCAGTTCCTTCCAGTCATCATTTCAACTCAACTATCTCAATGCTTTTTATTGTTTAGTATCCTTTCATATAATTATATACTTCATTTATCAGCAAAATCTGTCTAACAACTAGAAGTTTCATGTGAGCAGAACACATTTGTGTAAGAGCAAACATGTTTTAATTGAGATGGTATTTCAACAAATTACATATATTTCTGATCCTTTACACACTACATTAGATGGCCTCTACAGTTCTGCTTTAAAAAAATTATTGCAAAAATTATTTTGAAATCTAATTATTGAACTCCCCACATGTTCCCTTCACAAAAAGAGGGAAAATGCAGCTTCTTCCAAGTCTACGTATCAGTAAAGATCCACATAATCTACCAGAGAACATAAATTCCTCAAGGGTAGTTTACTCTATTAATACCTACATCCTGTGCACATAATAGAGCAAATGAACTTTAGAGGTAATAAAGTTAGCTGGATTGAATCCTACAAACTATAATTTTAAAAATCCCTAATTTCCTGGCAATAAAATAGAATGGATTCTAAGTAATAAGCTGAAATGGAGAAAGTTAAGGAAAAAAGTGATACATTATAGTAAAATTCATACTCTTTCAATCAATATTCTTTTTTCCCCACATCTAGAAGTTAACACTCCATTTAAAAGGTTAACTAACTAATTAAATCCTACAAAGATGCTATTTTCTTAAAGATCATATTCTGCTGGATGACTGAACTAAAACTAGAATCAGAATCTACTTCCCGTGTTCTGGCTTGGTCACTTAAAAAGAAATTTACATGTTCTCTTCAAATCTTTATTTATTCATTTGTTATATGGAGAAAATAAGGATAGCTATAATGTTATAACTGCCTTGGAGCATGATAGATATAGTCTTCCATTAAATTTTGCAATTGGTGTCCAAAAATAAAGTCTTTTGAAAACATTATAAAAACTAACCAAAAGGCCTATTAAGCAGGGCACTGTGGTGCACAACCTATCCCAGCTAATTTGGGAAGTTGAAATGGGAGGATCACTTGAGCCAAGTTTAAGACCATCCTGAGCAACTGAGTGCGACTCCATCTCCAAAAGAACAAAAAAAAAGCCTATTAAACATACTGATGTTATTATATAACTTTTTGAGTATTCTAATATTGGCATGAGATGCATATTCAAATGGGATGAAAAAAATTTTGAAATATTCCCATAAAATACATCATTTCAACTGCTAGGAGTCCCTTTTCTATCTTACTATCTATTATGCAACATTAAGTACATACATAATATATGTAAGTACTTGTTATATATAATAACATGTCACATATTAAATGTATTATAATAGTTGTCATTAATTGTACTTCTAATTGCCCAACTAGGTGGGGAGTGTCATTAACACTTCATAGTTGAAAAAGCAAGGTGGTTAGAAATAGTGTAAACTTTTGCAGAATACATGCTCTTCTTGAACAATCCTATTCACTTTCTGTATTTAGCATAACTCCACCAAAACAGAGCCCCAAAATTCAAATGTATCAACCGACAGATTAATGACAGATTTGTTAGCATGTATATACAATTTATCTCTCCCTCTCTCCCTCCCCCATCTCACATGCTCATACAAATTTCAAAAGTAAAAATGAAACTTGTACATTCAAATGTACATCAAACTGAAACATTATCTTTCTAACCAAAGCAAGACCCCTGTTGAGGACACTAATTATAGCTGGAAAACAAAGGGTTAATGGAGGACAGAAGCTAACTGCCAATCACATAACTAATTAATTCCTATTGCTGGGGAATGTATAATCACAGGTTTATGTTATAATACCTCTAAACTTATGACTCCTAATTTTCTATTTTTAGCTTTCATCCTGGGGTTTCAGATTCAAATATCCTTCTGATTGCTTTTTGTATTCTTCATCTCAGTTAATTTACCAATATACACCCAGAAAACTCATACTATCATTAATTTCACTTTCTTCATGGCAATCAATAACAAGGTCTGCTCATTTTCCATTCTACTACTTTAAATCCAATGCCTCCTATACACCATTCTAGTTCAGGTACACTCAGGATCTCTGAAAAGACCTACCTTACTTTCAAATCTATACTGACATCAGTTATCTAAAATATACACCTAAGCATGTCATTCTTCTCCTAAAATCTTCTAAACAATCTCCAACAGATGAAAAATAACCTCTTCAGAAGGGCAAGCCAACTCTTAAGAGTGCTCTACTTATCCTTTTCATAATACAAAAAAATCAAGCAAATTCTAAATTGTTAGAAACTAACCATATTGGTTATTTACCAAATTTTCTCTGGCCATATCCTGTATCTGTCTTTAACTGCATGGTTGACACTTATGTTTCCTAACTTGGTTGCTTCTGAAACCTTTCCTATAACTTCCTCGCTCTGTGCCCTCGCTCTGATAGCACCTCATGAATAACACTATCATAAAATTTATACATCTGCTTCTCCTCAACCCTCTCATTAGACTATAAGGTTTTTCATGGCAATGGCTGATAGCCCATTCTTCAGTCTCCCAATTTAGCACATAGTAGGTACTCAGTGCAAACCTACATAGGTACTATCACAAATATTCTCCAGATTTTCCATTTGGACTTGTAAGATTAAATTTGGGTTTTACATTTTAAATCTGGATGAATTACAATAAACATTCCATACCATGTTACTGAATTTTCCTAAAAAGGAAAAGAGCAATAACTCAGGAAAAATTCAAACTACAGAAATTAAGAAAATCAGTCATTTTATGAACAAATGATTTAGTACCATCAAAATTATTACCATAAAAATAACTAAACTTCCATTAAACTAAAATAGATGCCATTAATCATTACTTACAGAATTATATTTGGACATATGCATGCTATTACTTACAAAACAGAATAGAATCAAATATGCAATTGATAACTGAAGTGCTAAATAGCTTCAGGAAACTATTGGGTGAATGTTCAAAATATGTGACGTAAAAACCTCAACGATTTAAAGAAATAAATGCATGTAAATATGAAGAAACAACAATGCATAAACCAATGAGTTAACAACTTGAAGTGATTTATGAATGTAACCAAAACAATTCAACTGGCAATGATTTTTAAAAAGTCAAAAAATAACCAAAAGGATTAGAAGCTGGATTAAAAAAATTCAAGTACACAATAAATATCCTTTAAAATATCTCAAATCTTATTCCTGATTTTGAAAATTAATGCAATCTTAAAATGAACTGTCCACAAATTATGCTAAGTCAGAGCTACCAAATACCTAAATACTAAAACAAGGTAAGAAAAATTAAACAATCATTAGAAAACAATTCTACTATTGCATTTACATACAGAGCATTATCTCTGCACCTTCCCCAAAACTTCCACGAAATAAAAACTGTATATACACAAAAGCTGACTCTTTTTATGATGTGCAATACAACGGTTCTTTCCAAGTAGTTCTTTAATATTGTTCTAGCTTAGTACTTATTAATAAGTTTCCTTTTATAATACTATGCATAATTTTAAAGAATTACCATTAAGCCAGGTAATAATCCTATGTCCTGGGTTATTCACATATCAAAAACAGCTAATATTTTAATAGTGCCTTACTCTTTTCTTAACACTATATATATATATATATATATATATTTTTTTTCTTTTAAATCTTAAAATATCTCTAGATGCTATTATTTACAAACTGGAAACTGAAGCCCTGGAATTCATAAATACCAACCCATAAAGCTGGGATTACATCAGATGGCCTGATTTTCTTCAAACACAAATTCCCTTTTATGAGTTTTGCTTCTAATATGGTTCTTTGTAATCAGTCTGGAGACCTATTAATATTATTCTCGCACCTAAAATACACTGACTATGGTATATATCCCTCTAGTTAATATTTTGTTGTTCCCATTTAGAATAACAAATTTTTTAAAAATACAGAATTACTGATAATCAATTTCCCAAAGTTTACAAGAATGTCTTTCTAAAAAACTATCTAAAGCATATACATCGTACTGAACGCCCCTCCAGTCAACTATTGTGCTCTCTATATAGACATTCAACGATGTCACAATCTCATATACCAGCTTCAAAGACGCTGTTAAAAAGTACTGGATTTACATGAGAATTTCTTTACTTTCCTCTTTACATAAAGCTATTACTTCAAGATTAAAATGTTCTATTTCCTTGTCCTAGCACAAGTTTTCTTCCATTTTATATCCTGTCTTTCTCACTAACTCTCTGAAAAGGCGCCTATTCTAGCTGAAGGTCCAGCGCGCCCCCAAGGCTGCACTTGCTAATCCACGCCCACAGCGTGTTTTTCTGCCTGCGCCTGAGAATCTTCTAGAAGGGCTTGGTCACACAGTGCGACGGCCATGTTGATTCTCCTCCCGTGGAGATCTACTCAATGCGCCTATGAAACTCGAGCCGCTGGAGTCCTGCGGAGCCCGCGCAGGGCTGCGTGCGTCAGGCTCCGGAGAGCCGTTTCCGGGAGGGAGACGCTCGCTGGAGCGCCGGCGACGAGCGCTTTCCGCTGGAGTAGCGCACTCGGCGGGGTCCGACTCCGGTACACTGCGCAGCATCGGGAAACGACGGCCCCCTCGACAGCCTGCCTAGAGACCGGGCCAGGGGCGGGCGCGTGGAGGGTTCGAAACCGGTACTTACCAATGTGAGGCGTTGCCTGAATTTTCCTCTGCGGGTTTCAGGAAGACCCTCTGTAGATTATTGGACATTTTAGAGGGTGGGGAAGGGACAGATCATCCAGCAAAGTGGGGAATGTGGGGCCGAGGTTCTCAAGGAAGCGAAAATCAGAACGAGAGAATATTGGGCTTCAGTTGCACTGCAGCAATTGTGAGGGGTTCGATGCGGAACGGAGGGAGACCTCAGGCTCTCGAGAGGGCGTATCCCCAAGCTTCTGAGGGAGGTGGCTCAGCCACCCACAAACCGGAAGGCTCCGCGCCGCATCTGCACCCTCCTAAACCCTCTCGGAGATTCAAGCATAAGTCTCCGCCTCCGAATCTACGTCATCGCTCCGCAGCCCTTGAAGCCGGAGTCGGAGGTGTGGCCTTAATGACACCGCCCCCAACAAGGACCTGATCGCTGAAGAAGGCAGCGTCCATTTGGCTCTGCCGGCCCCGCCCACCAAAGCCGGTTGCCGGAGCGAAGCTCAGGCCCGGGGCATCCGGTATCGTCATGTCCGGTTACTAAGGCGAGTGGCTCGCTAAGGCTCCGCCCTTACGATGCGATCCAATCGCGAGTGAAGTTTGCCATCTCTTCTTCCGGATCAAGGAACAAATCGCAAAAGAAAATTCTCCGGACGTCTACGCAAAATAAAATATTTCCGGGGTCAATCGTAAATTTTTTGTCGTTTTGCTTCTAGCCCAAGTTTTCATGCCTTGCCCTTGTTTGAAAAGACTAAGGCAGGCCTTTTGGAGTCATCATACACTAGTGGTGTGAAAAAATTTTAGACGTCTTCCTAAAGAAGTCTTGATACTAGTTCCCTGAAAATCTCCCCCACTTCCTGAGCTTTTTCCTCTAGACTTATTTAACCCCTTCTTCCACTTACACTTTCATGTCTCAGTCAAAACTGTCATTTATTGCCATATAAACGATTGTTAAGTCTCGAAAAATATTATTCCTTATAAAAACATTTTTTGACACCTTTGTTTGAATCTCCAGAGAAACGCTTTTCAGAAGTTTCTGGAATACTGAAGTTAAATATCTGAAATGGCTTCGGTCTCTGTTTAAAGTGTAGAAATTATAGTTAAATTGGCTCCGAAATGATGTGGGAGGGGTAGTTCCCCAAATCCAGTTTTATCTAGTGTGGGCAATCCCTGAAAAAAATTGATTGGCAGACTAAGTTAAGTAGCAAATTTGAATGTTTATTTTGATTATTTAAAAATGGAGTTATTTTTGATAGGCTTATTTCGCTTCCCATGATATTCTATTGTCATGTATAACTGATTAAGATAATTTTTTTAAATTAAATGGAGTTATTTCTTTCTGTAACCCCATAAGGAAATAATACTTGTTTAAAAAACTTCATGTCCATATATAATAAAAATAATACTAACTTCTCTTCACTCTGTTGAAGGTTAACTTCAACTATGTAGAATTTATCCATATATGTCTCATTACTGAAGAGGGGGGTAGAGTGGTGAGTTCTTAATGTTGCTGTGAATTTTTCATCTATCTGTGAAAGCAAACTACTGAATGCGTTTCCCATTCCTGCTTGTTAAATGTTTTCATTTACTTATCATTTCTTACCTTTTGCTTCTCATATTCATCACCACTCCCTATAAATAAGACAAAGTATCTCAGGATGGGTTTTCTGGGAAGCAGATTCTTAGGATGGAGTTGGGTATGCAGAAGGTGTATTAGAGATCAATATCTGTGGAAATAAAGAACAGGAAGCAAAAGGCAGAGTGAGAAGCTAAGCTGTGATCCCCAATCTCAGACAAGGCCTTAGCCTGCCCCACATAGAAGTCCAAAACTGGCATGAACTTAAGACGTTTTATCCAGCAGAGGTGATAGGTTTTATCCAGCAGAGTGATAGCTTTATGATGATCGGTTACTGTTTGAAGACTGTGATGAAGAGTTTATGCCTTTGGATAAGAAGGATCTCTTTAGTCAAATCAATTATTCAAAGAGGCTGATTGATAAAGCTTGTCTGCTGGCAGCACTCCCAATATCTGGGAAAATATGACCTTCATTCCTTAAGAGCATTCTGGGATGTGCATCACAGCAACCACTGTAGTCATTAAACCACTCAGACATCCATTTATTGCAATTGATGCTATGTGTGTCATACTTATTAAGAATCTTCACTCAACAGAAATATTAATTATTCCCTCACTCAAAGCCATTGGCAATTTTCATTCATTGATTTCCTCCTAACTTTTTATCTATTTCTCCTCAGATCTTTTGAAGTTTCATCCTTCTCTTCTCAATCATTAAATAAGGGAGTTCCTTAAATCTTGATCATTAATCTTATTTTCTCAAACTGTCCTGCCTCTGCAGGTGATTCATACACTCTTTTAAAGTTTTTTTTTTTAATTTCTGTAGAATTGATAGTAGTAGTTCTACTTCCATTCCTGATTTCAGTAATTTGAGTCTTCTCTTTTTTATGCTTGGTCCTTCCAGCTAGAGGTTTGTCAATTTTGTTGGTCTTTTCAAAAAATGAAATTTTGGTTTTGCTTATGTTCTCTCTTATTTTTCTATTCTCTATTTTACTTATCTCTGTAGTAACCTTTATTATTATGTTTGAAAGCTATATTTTTCTTCTTTTTACTGTTTCTTAAGAAGAAAAGTTGACAAATTCATATCTTTCTTATTTTTTAATGTAAACATAGCTACGAATTTTCTTTTTTCCTTTTTTACAAATTTTCTCCTCTTAGTAATTTTACTGTATCCCATATTTTATTTTCGTAGTCACTTGTCTGTAAGAATTTTATGATTGTTTTGTAGATTTCTTCTTCAATTCTTCAATTTTCAGGGATATGTTGTTTAGTTTTCATAATTTTGGGACTCTTTCAGTTTTTTTCTTTCTAACTTAGTTTTATCATGTAGTAAGAAAAGATACTTTAATATATTTATTCTCAAATAAATTGAGATTTAATTAATGGCATAAAATATGATCTATCATGATAAATGTCCAACATACAATTGAGGAAAAATGTGTATACTATTATCATCGGGTGGAGTATTATGTATATGTGTTTAAGATCTATTTGGTTCATCATGTTTTCCAGCTCTTCTATTTCTTTACTTATCTTGTCTGGTTGTTCTATCCACTAGTGAGAAATAGGGTATTGAAGTCTCCAAATTTTGTTCTAGCACCATTTCTCTCTCATTTCTATTAATTTTGCATCATATATGTTGGTGTTCTTGGTTAGGTACATCAATTTTTATAGGAACTGGATTAAAATTCATCTATGTTACATTATTGCAAAGAATTTTGTTTTCTTGTGTCTTTGTCCTGAGACTTTGTGAAAGGCTTACTTTAAATATGTTATAGTAGTTTATCTGGCAGAGAAAATTTCAGGGAATTTTACCATGTTCAGCTATCCAGGCACTCACAGCTGCTGCAGTCATGGGCTGAACAGGCACAGCTACAAATCATGCTGGTGGCAGAACTTGACATCATACATGTGCTGTGTTTTCAGGCATTAATGATGCAAGAATCATGGAGTAGTGGGGGTCTCAACTGAGATTTCTAAGAAGATCTGGGAGGCTAGGAAATGTGTAGTAGGGTATAATAACATGAGAATTCTGTGGGCAGCCCCTGAGACAGTGATACATGATGCTGAGAGAATAAAGTCAAAGATGCATTGGAGATCTCAGTAATTTGGACATGCTAGGAAAATAGAATGCCTTCTAAGGAAAGCTGCAAGCAACTTGTAGGGTTAGCCCAAGAGTATGGCCATGTGGGCTGCAGTCAGCAGAAATAGATGCCCAAGGGACCCACATCCCACCACCATGTGCCTCAAATATTGGAGCTACAAGATTTAATGTTTGGGTTTCAGTCTTGGTTGTGTCCCATTCCTCTTTGCTATTTTCCTATCCCTCCCTTTTAAAATGGGAATGTTTACTCTGTCCCAACATTTTATATTAGAATTTGTAACTTTTTTTTAAATAGGAACTCACAGAAAAACAATTTGCCTGAGTTGGAGGAGACTATAGACTTGGACTAACTAAATGCATTTTATATTGAGATATACATGAATCTTTGGAGCCAGGGGAAGAATATTTTAGTTTTGGATCTGGAAGGTCCCCCTCAGGCTCATGTTGAAAGATTGATTCCCAGCTGGTGGTGCTCTTGGGAGATCCTGGAAATTTAGGAGGTGGGGCCTAGTTGGAAAAGGTAGATCACTAGGGCCATGTCCTTGCAGGGTTCATGTTGACCATGGTGTTTATCTGTCTGTCTCTCCTTCTTGGATGCCATTGGATTAGCAGCAGCCTCCTCTACCTTGAAACTTTCCTATAATTATGTTCTGCCTTGCCACAGGCCCCCCCCCCTCCACTTGCTTGATTGAATTGTGAGAGCCTTAACCCAATCAGTGAATTATTCCCCTGATAGGATTAGTTGAGTGGTAGACTAGGGTGTTTAGGGTGTGGCTGGAGGAGGTGAGTCCCTGGGGAAGTAGTTTGGGGGTAATATATACTTTGTATTTGACAAGTAGAGTCTGCTTCCAAGTCCACTTCCTTCCACCACACTGTTCTGCCATGATGTTCTTCCACAACTGAAGCTGCAGGGAATGGATCTGGCTTTTCTATGGACTGAAACCATGAGCTCCAAAATAAAATTTCCCTTCTTAAAATTGTTATGGTCAGGTCTTTTGGTCACAGCAATGAAAGAGCTGACTAAAATAACCTGTATGAGCAGATCCAGCTGTTTCATGGGTTCTTCATGCAGAGACATTGGTATGTTTATCCTGGGGCTGGAGCTGCTGCTTCACCTTGACTTACACCATGATCAGCTACAGCAGATGAGGGGTTGGACTTGCCTTCAGAAACATACACTGTGAGACCAAGACACACTCACATATACACACGCTGTGTCCTGGATCCTTGTGCATCCTCTGACAGGCAGCCACAGCTGGCTGGCCTGCCTCCTGCCTCTGGGCTGAGAAACCCTACCACTTAAAGGCAGGGCAACAGCAGCCCGGCTGGTCTGTCTTAGGTATTTTCTTACAGTGATGAAAACCAAGTAACACATTAAGATCACACTTCTGGCTAGTCCTTAGCACAG